CGAGCACCGACCTTTGCAATAGGAACAGGTTAGGCTCATTTTCTGTGTATATTGTCACTTTAAGGCCAGACTTTATACACATGTATATGTAGAAGCTGTTGACAGTTCATCTTTTAAATAATAAAACCACTATAGAAGCCAAAGAGAACATTTATGGCTCTTAGGGGTGGAAATAACCCATTGCCCGACGTCCGAGTCCAGTGTTTCTTTCTGTCGGGCAAGCAAATTTGTATATCACACCGTACCGGTGTCCAGTTGATATTCCAATGTTAATTATGTTGTTTATTTAAAAAATCAACAAGAAAATGGCCGGTATAGTGGAAAAATGATCAGGGCAAGTGATTTTACATGTGCCACTGTACCGGAGTACACTAGCAATTTTAAAGTTATTTCCACCCCTGGCTCTGTATGACCTATATACTACTACTGAAATATTTTGAGGCTATAACCTGTTAACATGCTTTAACAAACTGTATGAAAGGTGTATCGTGTAAGTGTTTGAAAATAAGCATGAATATGAACCCTGTGTAAATTTGACAATTATATTGGGTCTTCCTGATTTGCCACCTCCTATTGTTTATTTAGGTTGTGCAGTCAGGTGTGGTAATTGATAGAACAATAGGATGAGGTGGGGGTCAGCTCAACATTTAGACATGTGGTGGCAATATATTTCTTTATTTCTTTGTCATTTTACATGAATATACATTCAATTTGAAATATTCCACGCATATTTTTATAAACATCAACCATGACTGAATTACATGTTCATTACATAACAAGTCTTTTGTAAACCTTTTAATCCCATTAATGTTGAACAATGCCAGTGATCTTGTAATTGCCCACCAGGAGTACTTATAAGTTTTTTAACTACAAATGCAATTTATTATTTATCAATCAAAAGACGAAATAGTGACCTCTTAAATTCACCCTCCACTGGCTCCAGGAGATATTGTCAAAACAAATTTCCATTGAGTAGGAGAAAGGTGTACCTGGATATTTCAAACATTTATTTGCTTTACTGACAAACTGCAAACAACCATTATGGTGGGTGGTGGGTGGTGGGGAGGGGAGAGAAAGAGAGAGAGAGAGAAGAAAAAAAGAGAAAGAAAGTAGAAAAATCAAAAGATCTCACCTCCTACATCAATGAAGTCTTTGGGTGCCAAGCCGGATCGTGGAGCTGAAACATAGGCAAGGTTTTACACAAACTTTGAAAATTGGGAGTCATGGTGACTCACAGTATAAATTTTTGACAGTCATTTTCAATATTTGGTAGTCATGAAAATTTTAGTTTAATATTTAGTGCAATATTTCATTGTGTAAATCCAAACGCAAGAGTTGTGCCAAGATTTTGTTTTGTGTTGTATTGTCATTTATATTAGTCCATGCAGGTAGCACAAGCACTGTACGTCCCCATGGCCCCTACTGTGGAGACAGTCATCTACTTATGGAATGTGTTTTATTGTATTGTCCTCGTAAATAAAATAGTTTTAAATTTCCGAGCTAGTTTTAGACACCATCTGTGATACTCTAGTTATTTTACAGTCCTTTGATGACTGATTATTTAACAATCATAATTTATTGTCTATGTAAAACATTTCTCGTCACTATATGGCTGAAATATTGCCGAGGTGACGTTAAATTTTAACTCACTCACTCACTTATATGATTGTTTTAAATACAGTTTACAATAAACGAAAGTTATCATTGTTTGCTTATAAAATCGATCTTATTGAACTGTAAAACCCTGCACAGGACATGTCATAAACAAATATTTCCATTGATTATAGATAGTCTTTAATTATGACAAATTTATGTAAACAGTTAAATTTGGACAAGACAATCCAGTGATAGACATTGTCAGCCTTGGCTTCTGGGGACATAATCCCCCCGACATGGTATGAAACTGTGATCAAATAAAATATAAATTTAGAAAGTTATATGCCTTCCAGTTGAGTGAATATGACTGAAGGTTACATTATATAATGTGAAATCATACTGTGGATTAAAAGTATGTTCATTTACAGCCTTGACCTCTTAGTGAAACCTTTGATCCCACAAGCCAGAATGTATATCAATATTGATGTCATTAACTGTGCTTACTAAACCAAACAGAGGTGAGGTGAAATGCGGTTTATCGTCGTGCTTGAGAATATTTCGCTCATGTGACGACGTGCATGCGTGTGTATGTGCGGTTGCTTGTACTAGCCCAGACTGAAGCTGGTTTTATAGTGCTAGCCCACTGAGATACCATGCCGCAGTGAAGCATGAATACCCCACTCAGACACATTATACTGACTCCGAGCCGACCAGTCCTTGCTTTATCCATTAATGCCGAGCGCCAGGCAGGGACCAACAAGTACCATATTTTAACCTCTTTTGGTATGACACGGTCGGGGATCGAACCCGTGACCTTCCGCTCTCCAGGCGGACGCTCTAACCACTACACCACGGAGGCGGTCAATCCAAACAGAACTTGACTCACTCCTCGTAAAAATGTTTTGGCAGGTTAAGGCTTAGGTCGTCAATGGCGAACGGGTATGACACAAATTTTTTTTGCGATAAATAAATGTACGTAAACTCATTATGACAGTGAGGTGTAAGGGTCTCAGTGACAGGTGCCTTCAGTTCAACATGTTTTGGTGCATGTCGGTTGTGTATACTTTGAAATAAACAAGAAAATGGGTGAGTTACCGCTACAAATTCTGAGCAGGGATTTTGGCTCGGAATCCAGAAATCACGACTTTTCAAGTTTCCGAAGACCCTAGCTCCCGAAGTACTGCTTCGAATTTTGTGCTCTATGTCTTATTTTGTAGGTAAATCTATTGGCTTGAAACGTGTGCATACTTTAAATGGGATAGATACAGTGAGCATTGTTGAATTCGCCCTGAAACGAACTTGGTGTGTTGACCTCGTTACACCCCTTTCCTTTCACATAGTGCTAAATGTATTATGGCAAATACGGTAAGAGTCTAAGAGAAATCAGGGGTCTTCCCTACAGGCTGTCTCTAAATGTTCTCCATATATCACCTGCTCTGAATTTTCATTCCAATGTAAACTTTTCTCATCTAAATTCTCCCAGCCGCTGTTTTCAAAGTGAAGCAACTTTACCTAGATCATACATTAATTAAAACACTAATGAAGTGATCAGAATTTTAGAATTTCATAAAACAGGTTACACAAAACAACATTTCCGGGTAAAATATGCATAGAAAATTTCCATTTACGCATTGAAAAATAATTGTTGCGTACCAATTACGCATTAAAAATGTTAGATATGCAAAAGGTTTTAAAAAACAAATGCGTACAGAACATATTTATAAAAATCGCTTGCGCAATGAAAAAGACATCAATTGCTATCAAGTTGTACTGTTAGTATAGGACTAGTGTTGTACTGTCAGTATAGGATGAGGGATTTTTTATGAAATCATTTCCATTATATTTAAGTTGGTTTTGATTAGGTATGACATAAGGCAGAACATACCTGCTAAGTAAACTTACTCAATGACACCATACTTAGGTGAGTAAAATGACTGAAATACGCACATATTTGAAAATTGTGGGTAACGGAAAATGAAATACCCACTCAACATTCATAATACCCACTCCAAAAAAATACAGTGGGTACAGTACCCACATGAGCTAAATCTTATCTGGAGCTCTGCATAACATCCAAAAACATGATACAATTGCAAAATGTAAACGACACATAAACATATTCAAACCGATACTTTCAAAACTAAATATCGATACAGTTTTGAATGCATTGATAATTGTATTGTCTTAGAAAAGTATCGATGCATCGATGTATTGTGGTATCCCAACTGTTGACTTCAGTCTAGCTGGGTTAGTGAGAGTGAGTTCAGTTTTAAGACGCTTGTAGCAATATTCTATCACAGTTGGGGACACCAGAAATGGGCTTCCCTAATAGTTTTCTTTTAGCCTGACTGGGGTTGGAGAAACACACACAATAAGATAATGACGTCCTCACAATATTGGCACCATAATAAAGGAATTGAGTTGATGTGTGAATGCCTACACATAGTGGTGTTCCGATGATCGAAAATAATAAAAACATCGATCGATGAAAGGATTAAAAATAATTATCGATTGTAAATAATTATTTTTTTGATTAATCGAAATTTTGTTGTTTTAGTATAACACACTTGAATGAAGAAAACAAACCATTAAATTTAAAGAACATTTACAAACAAACATGCGTTCAACAGCATAAAGCTATGCGCATTGTACTGATAGTTTCGTATTTATCATTACGGTAAATATTACTGTAACCTGCCTGTTAATAAAATTAACATCTACTGTGAACGTAATGAGATATACTGACAAATATTTGTTGTGTAAATAAACAGAATAATTTGTATGTAGAAAGTAAAATTACTGCACTTAAAAAAAATTAGATATGAAAATATATTGCTAATCCTGCCTGTTGTTGAGAGGGCAAACCTGGGCATGGGAAGTCGAGGGGAAGGGTAGAGGCAGTATTAGGCCTAAAACAAAATGTTGTGGTTCCGATTACCCGACCAACCCTTGAATTCTGGTGCTGACCCTAGTTATTTTAAGAGGTATGATAAAATAAGCTTTCAGGTACCATGGTTTTTGGTCAGCACCAATAGACATCAGTCATTCTGATAAAGAAAGTTGACATGATGACCGCAAGCTTGATTGAATAAACAATTATACATAGATAAATGTGTTATTAGTTCATAATTTACTTCTAAAAAAAATATCTTAAAAAATATATAAAAAAGAAGAATTCCTACCTACCTACCCTAAATTTTAAGGTGTAATCGGAACCACAACATGTTTTTTATTTGGCCTTAGTTATAAAAAGCATTAATGAGAAAAAACCTGACGAAAAACCCTTAAAATTAGTGATTAAATAAAAATGTATATATTTCCATTATAATCGATAATCATTCACCACAAGTCCTCCGATAATCTATAGTGGATTTGGTGTCTGATTCCCAACACTACCTACATACCAACTCTGCCATAAGACCCCTCAGGAACAGCTATCTGGATGTCTGTCTTGGCGATAATCTTGTCTCCCGCCGGGATCAAATAGTCATAGGCACTGAAAACAGACAGTGAGTGAGTGAGTTTGGTTTTACGCCGTTTTTAACAACATTCCAACAAATATCACGGCAGGGAAAACCAGAAATGGAAAACAGACAGGACACATTTAAATTGTTTTCTGTTGGTGCTCTGATGGGAAGTTGATGATGGGGAGGGCCTAGAGATTAAACACCTCCTATATAATTATGGATTCAAAAGCCTTTATCAAACCAGGGGAGATAACACATTTATATTCACTATTCTAACACACAAGAGCAGACATGGAAAGGAAATGATAGTGTCTGATAGAATTTAAATAAGTAAATATGTGCCTATATATCAGGGTGGATACAGCTTTTTCACCTGTTACACGGCAGTTTCAATGGTCATTTAATTCACTTTCAGGACAAAAAGGAGGTTGCACACACCCCCTCTGGATCCGCACATGTATATGTAGTGCATTGATGTTAATATAAAGTTAACCCATGAAGATCTGGGTTAGAATTGATCTTCAGTAACCCATGCTTGTCATAAGAGGCGACTAACGGGATCAGGTTGTCAGACTCGCTGACTTGTCACCGGTTCCCAATTACGTAGATCAATACTCATGCTGTTGATCACTGGATTGTCTGGTCCAGACCCGATTATTTACAGACCGCCGCCATATAGCTGGACTATTGCTGAGTGCGGCGTAAAACTAATCTCACTCACTCACTAATATATAGTTAGGCACTCTACCGCTGTGTCAGACTAAGATGTTATGATGCGAGTTATATCCCTTTGTATCACTCTCATTGAGTAAGTTATTAAAGAATTAAGTTCATGTTTTAGCAGACGCCATTTGTTCTGTGGTCTATTGTTATGAAGTTCTGCCAAGTCTAGAACTCTATATGTATGTATCAATGCATGCAACCCCAAAAATACAAATGGAGTTATAAGACGTTTGAGGTCTTTCTCAACTTGTCAGTTACATTTATGACTTGGAAAGAGAAGTATCTGGATGCAGGATGCATTTAAACCAGTGTTCACGAATAGTGTCAGACCCTCTGACAAATCCGGCAGATTCACCAACGGTGTGATAGAAGTCTACAACCCGCCGGCCCGAGTGTCTGACTGTATATTTCACAATGACTTTGACTGAAGTTGTTATATGTCACAGGGGCGGATACAGCTTTTTGAGAAAGGTGGGGTGCACACTATTGGCAAAGGAGGGGGTGCACACTTCATTTTCACCCAAGTTTCAATGGTCATTTAATAAGCTTTCAGGACAACAACAAAAAAACAAAAACAAACAAAAAAATGTGTGTGTGTGTGTGTATGTGTGCGCACCCTGAACCCCCCTCTGTGTCACATGTTACATGTGACACGTGTTTGCTGTTTAAGAAATACACTTCGCTCTACCACCATGTATAGTGTAATAAAACACACTTTTACCCTGAACTATTATAGTTAAAGCACGAGGACGCTTGCGACCGAGTGCTTTAACGTTATAATAGTTCAGGGCGAAAGTGTGTTTTATTACACTATACATGGTGGTAGGGCGAAGTGTATTTCTTTTCTAAGATGCCAAATTTGATACTTTCTAAAGATAATTACGATTAATTTAAGGCAGAAAACAAACGACGGTGTCGGTGACCTAAATTAAGAATCCTCGCACATGGCTAACTGGCGGGCTGTTCTATTGATGTGTCTGCCCCCTACGTTAAGACGAACGTTACCTGTAAAAAAAACAAATGATAACAGTTTGATGACGGTTTACTTTCGGATTAAATATCTTCTCTGAATTATTTTAATTACATCTGTCATTAACTTAAACCATATGGGGCAATATGAACGTTGCATTTCTACTACCAGCGTAAGTTTAGATCAGTACATCCAGAGGAAGTTGAGTAGTCAAGCGACATTCCACAATTGCATTGTGGGAAAGTAAACATTACGAACGTTACCGTGTCGCTGAAAACTTGGCAGTCGAAATGACCGTCGTAAAACATAAACGTAATGTTTCCACCAGTGATGTTAGCTGCGTGAAGCAACAGCAAACCAAGAAACTGGATGCAACGGTGTAGTTTACTGTAGGAGGCCGTACGAGGCGATGACAACTGACATGCATTGTGACGCCGCTTACATTGTGACGTAATGTAAAATGGTTCGATTACGAGGGGGCACACTAGAATGGCGCAGTGACGGGATAACGTCATTCAATTGTTATGTCATCAAAAAACTGTACCTTTATTGTCTGATAATGGGGTTTTTTTTCGATTGTTCTAACCGCTAGGCATCTTAGAATTATAAATCTTATGTTTGTTAGTAACTTTAAATGCCAATTATAAGAAATTTTAAATCTGAAATGTGTGTTTAATTTTTATTCTATGGGTCCTGTGAATTTTCAATGGGCCAGATATCTGAAGCCTGCAGGACCTAATGTCCTGTGACTTTGAAACACCATTCGTGAACATTGTTTAAACTAAGACTACCATGATTAGGTATAGGAAAAGCTAAGAAAAATATCAATTGTACAACCTATATAGCCACCCATTAAAAATTGTGTAGTTTAGGGGTTGGAAATTTTGACTGTCTGCTTGTCCATACAATACTGTCCCAAATAGTTTGAAATTAAAATTCTATTCGACCTTCGACTAGTTAACATTGGTCTAGCTCGATCCTAAAAATGCAGCTTATAAAAACATCTGAAATAGTGCACGCTTAATTGCAAGGTGTTAGGAAAAAAATGTCCTCGGAAAAAAAAGCACCGGTAAAAAAGTACGAAATTTGCCTAGGGAAGTCCTACTCTTATGTTTTTATAACAAATGTTCAGAAAAAAACTTAGATATTCGGGTTTTTAATACTTTATTCACATGCAACAATGTAAATTGACAAACTACATTTGCAGGACTTATAATTTTTTTACTTTATTCACATAGACACTTTCACATACAACAATGTAAATTGAAAAAAAATTGCATCTGCAATGATACATTTGCAGGACTTTCACATAGGCACTTCACATTGCACTGAAAATTGACAATTTGCAAGACTTTGCTCACATCAAATGTCAGAACTCAAGCTAAATCCTGGATTTGAATGCCCAGGTAAAATATCATTGTTCTTGGTTATACAGTCAGTGGCCAAAAGTCTGTTCGCAAAACATGTTACGTTGCCCATGTTTTGAGGGCTAGGTTGACTTTGAGAGCGTTTCGCCGTGCTGATAAGCCACCAATCGTAATGTGATTTGGGGTACAAATTTCACAGGTCACAAAATATGTTTAGCACCGATCATATGCGATTATCTCCCTTGCTTTGTTTATATTTTTGTCGTCTGCTATCATGCCGCCTGTCAACCGAGAATTGACACCTGACCAAAGAAATTTAATTGTTGACTTGAAACAGCAAGGCCAATCAAGCTACAAAATTGCTGATTTGACAGGTATAAACCCAAGAACAATTCAGAAAATTTTAAAACGTTTTCGGGAGCGAGGTTCAGTTAAATCGTTGCCGAGAAGTGGGCGGCCCCGAAAATCGTCACCAAGAAGCGAACGACGGTTTTTTCGTCTTGTGAAAAGAAATCGCCGGCAAACACTTGGGGATTTGACAGCAAAATATAACAATCAGGGACAGACTACTCTGTCTTCTCGCACTGTCAGAAGAAGATTGTTCATTGAGGGGTACCGTAGACATGTGGTAAGCAAGAAAATCACCATTTCTCGTGTTAACAGAGAGAAGAGACTCCGATTTTGTCGGACAAATTGCATTGGGGAAGAAATGAGTGGGATAATGTCATTTTCAGTGATGAGACAAGTCCAGATCGGGATTGACAGAAAAGTTTATGTGTGGAGAAAGTCGCATGAGCGGTTACGACCCGATTGTTTGGGGGTTCGTACCGATCATGAACGAAATTCGAAGTTTTCAGTGATGTTTTGGGGGTGTGTGTCTGCGTATGGAGTGGGAACTTTAACTGTCGTTGATGGCAACATGAACACTGATAAGTACATTGCCATTCTTGATAACCACTTGTGGCCTGTAGTTGCCAGGCATTTTGTCAACCGCAATTGGGATTTTCCAAGAAGACAATGCCCCTTGTCATGTGTCCATTCGGGCTAACCGTTGGAAACAGGAAAATCATATTCCGACTTTGCCGTGGCCCCCACAAAGTCCAGATCTCAATATCATTGAAAATGTATGGAAAACTGTTAAATATCAACTCAAAGCCAGATTAGGTGACATATTAACTCCAGACAAGATCTCATCCGTGTGGTGAATGACATTTGGACTGGGCTTAGTCCCGTTTACATTCGTCGTCTATATGACAGTTTACCAAGACGACTCCGAGATGTCCTAAGAGCACAGGGTCATATCTCTAAATTCTGAAAATTTGAGGTGAGTACCTTTATTATTTACATAGATACGCGAATTTTAAAAGGGGACCCGACTCCGCTAGAAATAGCCGTGACGTCACCGGTGCGAACAGACTTTTGGCCACTGACTGTATATTTAATTCTTGTCTTTAATACACAATCACTTTTCTCAAAAATAACTTTGATGTCAACATCCATTTAATCTGTTTTCACAATAATAGGACTCTTATTCCGGAGGACTTTTTTCCGGTACTTTTTCCTATAATCAATTGCAAGACTCCATCGATCCAAGCAAGGAGGGTGGATCAGAAATAAGGTGTTACCTGTACAAATCGTATCCTGCGGCATATTTGGGATCCTCTTGTTGGTGCACGGCCATTCTCTGTCAGTTTGGCAAACTGGAGTGTGACATTATCAGTGGGCATTTTGCAGAACTTTCTTGACAGAGGTGTCAGTGTCACGCCTTCCCTGGATCTTGGCGGTAGATGAATCTGACCCCAAATCTGGCGCCAAATCTGGCGACCACCAATCACATGCAGCATCTGGCGGAAGTAGGATAACTCTATACTGCAGTAAACTTCCGGTAAAAATATTGTCATCATGCCTTTAGTAGTTTTGTGTGGTTTTCCATCGAGCGGCAAGACTAAGCGAGCAAACGAACTAAAGAGACACATAGAAGCAAATTATCCGAGCAGGAAAATTCATGTTGTAAGCGACCTAGCCGAGAGCCGCGTGTCATTCATTCTACTGAAATGAATACTGAAAATGGTTGTATTTAGCACATTCAAGGACTAACCGTGAATATTTCTGTTGTGTGATTAATATGACAACACGTTGTTATTGTGCTCACAGATTCCAGACGAGAGAAAGAAGTACGGGGCTCGCTAAAGTCAACAGCTCAGAGGTGGGTGCAAATCGTCTCCACAGATTGTAACCATATGAAGCGTACATAAAATCATCTTGTGCTTGCGTCATGGCATTATCTGCCACCATTTGACAAAAGAAGGGAGAGTTCATGTTGTGGCAGTTACAGGTGTTGGAAAGAGTTCCTTCCGTTCCCCCAACTCTAAACCAAACTCTAAACCTAGCCCTAACTTAAATTTTGGACTTTTAATCATTTTGTGAGTTCTCTAGTAATTGTTGTGTTAAGTTTTGTTTATAATTCTAGAATATTTATACATATTATTTGGGATGGGGGAACGGGAGGAACTCTTACCCAGGTGTTGCCTGTGCCATTTATGTGATAAATATGCCACAAAATAAATGTCCTTTCAATCAAATCAGGTATTATTTTCGGAGTGGTGGGGTAGCCCTGTGGTTAGAGTGTTCCTAGGTTTGATTCCCTATATGGGTACAATGTGTGAAGCCCATTTCTGGTGTTATATAGCTGGTATATGGATAAATGCTGCGTAAAACTAAACTCAAGTTTATAACAGCGTTATGGGATGATTGTTTTAATTGAATTAAACTTTATTAGAGGCATTTTGATTAGTTGTTGGTCAAGAAAATCCTAAAAAATGTATCCCAACACGAGCTGAATTCGACGTTCTGGTGATTTTGACGATTGTATTGCTCGCGCTATATCGGGTGAGTACATGTGCGATTGGAGTGCACAAACAGTTTCACTGGTAGGGTGGGTGCCCAGTCGCTGTCATGAGAAGTTTCATTGACAATGGAAATCGGGAAGTAAAGTTATATAAAAAGCAAACAAACATCAATATGATTTACCCGAGATCGTTAATACCACTTTAGATGCAAAATCAGTTGCCTTTATAACAAAAAATAGCAAGCGAAAATTCAGTAAGATCATTCCTGACTGGTGACAGGCAATATATAAATAGGAAGTCAGATTATCACAACACTCCCTCGCAGTGCGGAGCAAAAAGTATGGCTCATCGTCGAAAACCCATACAAAATACCCGGATGTTACGAGCGGCCATCGCCGATGCGATGTCATCAACGCTATTTTTGTAGGAAACACTTGATATTTTTGTGTGAAATAGATGAATATATCCTTTATCACCCGAGGTTAGTAAAATAAAAACTGTAAATGATATTACAGATATAATTACGTTTTTGTCTTACGTCGTCGAAAACCCCTGACACCGGGATATATGAAGCAAACCTGCATGGGAACCCTTGATCATAGGTTTCTGGTGCACTCAATCTGCGTTTAAGTGAAGTTGTGAATTTTTGTGATCCTTAGCAAAGTGTGAGTAGTATTATAGAGATATTGATGGATGATGCTTGTGATTCAGTCCAGACACATGTTTTGTCTTTTCAGGTTACTGAACAAAGAAGATGTAGTCATTCTTGACTCCTTGAATTACATAAAAGGTAGGCTGAGACAGTCTGACAATCAGACAAAGAAAAGTCATATTCTGTTTTGGTGTTTTTGAGATGATTTTTTCCACTGGTTTCAATTATGGTATTTTAAGTTGTGTGTTTATGCATCAAGCAAGAATGAATATGATCGAACCCACAAACAGATGATCCTGACAAACTAAAGGGACCTAACTCTTTCATGTAGATTTTGATTATGGATGGTCAGAGGATTGGGTCACTTGTCCTTGTGAGATTTGTAGAATCTGCTGCCATTCAGTATTTGCTTGTTTCTCTCACTTAACATGTTAAAATACATTGCAGAGCTCCAGATAAGATTTAGCTCATGTGGGTACTGTATCCACTGTATTTTTTTGGAGTGGGTATTATGAATGTTGAGTGGTTTCATTTTCCGTTACCCACTGCTTTCAAATATGTGCGTATTTCAGTCATTTTACTCACCTAAGTATTACGTCGTTGAGTAAGTTTACTAAGCAGGTATGTTCTGCCTTATGTCATACCTAATCAAAACAAACTTAAATATAATGAAAATGATTTCATAAAAATCACTCATACTATACTAACAGTACAACTTGATAGCAATCAATGTCTTTTTCATTGCACAAGCGATTTTTATAGATATATTCTGTACGCACTTGTTTTAAACTTTTTGCATATCTGACATTTTAAATGCGTAGTTGGTACGCAACAATTATTTTTTCAATGTGTAATTGCAAATTTTCTATGCATATTTTACCCGGATACGCAGCTTATCTGGGCCTCTGCATTGTGAGAAGTGTTTCGATTTTGTTTGCCCAAGATGTTTTTTCGTGAATGTTGTTGTTTGATCTTTCAGGTTTCCGCTATGAGTTGTTCTGTGTAACAAAGGCCTGCCACACCCCCCATTGTGTTGTAAGTGAAACGATAACATGTTCAATTTCATAAATAACAATTGATGACACAACCAGGGCTCCAGATAATCTTTAAACACCAGGAGTACGTACTCCTTATTTTTTCAATATAGGAGTACTGGAAAAACGTAAGAGTACATTTAGAGTACTGAATGGAATTTAATGGAGTCCCAGTAACCCTGTGTTTCGTTTCATATTTGCGCCACAACATTGCTACTCTTGTGTAAACAAGTCAATAAACAATAAAACAATACTTTGTCAGATAAATACGTCTGCAAATGATTCTAAGACCGTACACCATTGCTGTGCTGCGTATCTGCTACGTTTTCTAAAATATTTCCTACCGTATCGTGCATATTTTTATTCGTACAACATACGCCGATACGGCCCTTATCTGGAGCCCTGCACAGCGTTTTGAAAAAGGTTGTTGTTTGTTTGTTTGTTTGTTGCCTAATGCTGCTCAGCAATTTTCTAGCTGTATGATGGTTGTGTGTAAATAGTGAGGTATATACCAGACATTCCAGTGATCAACATCATGAGCACTGAATTAAAAGGATTGGTTGGTTGGTTTGTTGTTTTGTTGTTTAATGCCACACTCAGCAATATTCCAGCTATATGTCAGCAGTCTGTAAATAATTGAGTCTGGATCAGACAATCCAGTGATCAATAGCATAAGCATCGGTCTGCGCAATTGGGATACTATAACATGTGTCTGTGAAATCAGCGAGCCTGACCACCTGATTCTGTTGGACACCTTTTATTAATAACATTATTCGTCATTTTATACGTACATAGATAAAGAAATTCCTATCTCTGTCTGCATTGAATCAACGCATTGCAAAGTATGAACTATACTTAACCATTTAATGTTTAATGGAGGATGTTGTGCCTTTGCATTATTCATCCTAACAATGGTGATCTTAAAATGTAAATGTTCTCTGGCACCGAGTCAATAGCTTAGTGTTGATATTAGTAGTGGTCCGATTAATTGAAATAATCGAAGATTGGTCGCAGTAACCAAACGACCAAGCACTCGATCACATGTTCTCATAATCGAACATAAACAATTTTGGAACTACTCTTGTAGTCTTTGAAATACTTGACAATGGAACATATCGTAGAAGTTGTCAGGGCATGAAAACGTGTTTATAACTCACTTCACTAACTGAAAAGCCATGACTGAATATATTTTTTGAAGACTCCGGGAAGTTTATGTTCATGATATATTAGTCATCACTTTAAAGTAGCAAGTTGCATCATGTTTTACATATCTGCAATAACGACCTGGATAGGAAAATCTGAAATATGACGCTAACCAATTTTTTTCGATGATTGTTTGTTGGTAATGAATCACTCTTCAATTGTGAGATTTCAACCAATTCCCAACACTAGTTGATATGCATACATATATATTGTGTCAGTCACGGATGGAAACAGAATTTTCGTAAAATTTAAAATTGAGCTTTCTTTCTTTGTTTCCTTCATGTAAATATGAGCAAAATATAATTAGTAAAACCCATAAATGATGTTTCAAGTACACACGTACACATCACCGTGTCTATAGGGAAAGCTAGCAACTATTTATTTTGTATTGAATTATTTAGCATTAATTTTCATTTTTGTTATTCCCACCAATGCATTGTTGAGATAATGAAGGCATACAAATTGACCAACGGTGTCGGGTGGTCAGACTCACTGACTTGGCTGATACAGGTCAATGTGTTTCTTTTGGTTGTTGAATGCTCATGATGTAGCTCATTGGTTTGTCCTGTCCAAAATTGATTATTTACTTACCTACATTTGTACTATTGCTGGGTGCGATCTGTTCTGTTTGATTGGCATTAGCTGAGTGCGGCAGAAAAAAAAGCAATAAGATCCCAAAACTTTACAGTAGTATCTATATTTCTTCACATCGTGTCAAATTTGCGCGTTGGGGTAGCCTAGTGGCTAAAGCGTTCTCTTGTCACGCCGAATACCCGGGTTCAATTCCCCACATGGGTACAATGTGTGAAGCCCATTTCTGGTGTCCCCCGCCGTGATATAGCTGAAATATGGTTAAAAGCGGCGTAAAACTGAACTAACTCACTCACTCATGTCAAATTTAACAGAAAATGTACCAATGTTTCTGCAACATAAAAAAACACAGTTGTTATTCATCCCTACATGTTGTTGAGAATCAAAATCTAAATAAGATTCATTTTCAGATATTCTGTGATATCAGTTCGGATCGTGCGTCAGAGTTCAATCTGCAGAGGAATGAGCCAGACAGATACACCCAGGAAATGTGAGTCTCCTTGATTCTTACACTGTTAAAATTGAGCTTCAGTAACCCAGGTTTGTCGTAAGAGACGACTAATGGGATTGAGGGACTTGGTTGACACATGCCATCATATCCCAGTTGCGTATGTTGATGCTCATGACATTGATCACTGGATTGTCTGGTCCAGACTCAATTATTTACAGACACCTGCCATATAGCTGGAATATTGCTGAGTGCGGCGTTAAACAACAGACCAACTCATCAGTGGAATGAAACCTTTCATGGTAAGTGGTGTCAGTAAATATTGCACAAATCAAATCGTTTGTGTTACCCAGATTTTATTTTATCAGCCTGCCATGATATAAATGGTATAGTAGATATTGAGACCCAACAAACCCCAACAGACACGCACACACACAGGTTTTGTATATAGATCAAACGCCAATGTCTGAAGTGATTGTGTAAATCCATGCAGGAAGCATAGGTACTGAAAGTTCCATTGGTCCTTAGGGGGTAGTGGGGTAGCTTAGTGGTTAAAGCGTTCGCCCGTCACGCCAAAGACCTTTTGTTCGATTCTCCACATCGGTTCAATGTGTGAAACCCATTTTTTGTGTCCCCCACGTGATATTGCTGGCATAAAACCAAACTCACTCACTCAAACAAGCAATCAATCATCAATCAATCAATCGCTCCATTGGTCCTTAGACCTTCAGTCGTTGGTGATAGTTTGCTATTTTTTGTAATGTCTACACCAGAAATGGTTGTATTTAAAAGCTGGTGATGAATGTATCATGTCTTGATGGGCAGGTGATGAATGTATCATGTCTTGATGGGCTGGTGATGGATGTATCATGTCTTGATGGGCTGGTGATGGATGTATCATGTCTTGATGGGCTGGTGATGAATGTATCATGTCTTGATGGGCTGGTGATGGATGTATCATGTCTTGATGGGCAGGTGATGAATGTATCATGTCTTGAAGAGCAGGTGATGAATGTATCATGTCTTGATGGGCTGGTGATGAATGTATCATGTCTTGATGGGCTGGTGATGGATGTATCATGTCTTGATGGGCTGGTGATGAATGTATCATGTCTTGAAGAGCAGGTGATGAATGTATCATGTCTTGATGGGCTGGTGATGAATGTATCATGTCTTGATGGGCTGGTGATGAATGTATCATGTCTTGATGGGCTGGTGATGGATGTATCATGTCTTGATGGGCTGGTGATGGATGTATCATGTCTTGATGGGCTGGTGATGAATGTATCATGTCTTGATGGGCTGGTGATGGATGTATCATGTCTTGATGGGCAGGTGATGAATGTATCATGTCTTGATGGGCTGGTGATGGATGTATCATGTCTTGATGGGCTGGTGATGGATGTATCATGTCTTGATGGGCTGGTGATGGATGTATCATGTCTTGATGGGCTGGTGATGAATGTATCATGTCTTGATGGGCTGGTGATGAATGTATCATGTCTTGATGGTGTGTTCCAGCTTTGATGGGCTGGTGATGAATGTATCATGTCTTGATGGGCTGGTGATGGATGTATCATGTCTTGATGGGCAGGTGATGGATTTATCATGTCTTGATGGGCTGGTGATGAATGTATCATGTCTTGATGGGCAGGTGATGGATGTATCATGTCTTGATGGGCAGGTGATGAATGTATCATGTCTTGATGGGCTGGTGATGGATGTATCATGTCTTGATGGGCTGGTGATGGATGTATCATGTCTTGATGGGCTGGTGATGGATGTATCATGTCTTGATGGGCTGGTGATGGATGTATCATGTCTTGATGGGCTGGTGATGGATGTATCATGTCTTGATGGGCAGGTGATGAATGTATCATGTCTTGATGGGCTGGTGATGGATGTATCATGTCTTGATGGGCAGGTGATGGATGTATCATGTCTTGATGGGCTGGTGATGGATGTATCATGTCTTGATGGGCTGGTGATGAATGTATCATGTCTTGATGGGCTGGTGATGGATGTATCATGTCTTGATGGGCTGGTGATGGATGTATCATGTCTTGATGGGCAGGTGATGAATGTATCATGTCTTGATGGGCTGGTGATGGATGTATCATGTCTTGATGGGCTGGTGATGAATGTATCATGTCTTGATGGGCAGGTGATGGATGTATCATGTCTTGATGGGCTGGTGATGGATGTATCATGTCTTGATGGGCTGGTGATGGATGTATCATGTCTTGATGGGCAGGTGATGAATGTATCATGTCTTGATGGGCAGGTGATGGATGTATCATGTCTTGATGGGCTGGTGATGGATGTATCATGTCTTGATGGGCTGGTGATGGATGTATCATGTCTTGATGGGCTGGTGATGGATGTATCATGTCTTGATGGGCAGGTGATGGATGTATCATGTCTTGATGGGCTGGTGATGGATGTATCATGTCTTGATGGGCTGGTGATGGATGTATCATGTCTTGATGGGCTGGTGATGAATGTATCATGTCTTGATGGGCAGGTGATGGATGTATCATGTCTTGATGGGCTGGTGATGAATGTATCGTGTCTTGATGGTATGTTCCAGCTTTGATGGGCTGGTGATGAGGTTTGAGTCCCCCAACCCTAGTACGAGATGGGACACTCCTCTGTTTGTTGTCCAGGTGGACGATGACCTCCCAGGTGACCAGATCTGCCAGGCGCTGTTTGATCGGAAGCCGCCACCCCCAAATCAGTCAACACAGTCGGTACGTTGCCATGGCATTCTCAGACTGACAATAATGATTATTGGCTGGCTTTATTCACAGCATCAAGCACATTGCTGTAAGCATCCCTGACCAAATCTAGACCAACAGGGCTCCAGATAAGGGCCGTAACGGCGTATATACGGATAAAAAATATGCATGATAGGGTAGGAAATAATTTAGAAAACGTAGCAGATATGCACCACAGCAATGGTGTACGGTCTTAGAATAATTTTCAGACGTACTTATCTGGAAAAGTATTGTATTTTTGTTTATTGACATGTTTAGACAAGAGTAGCAATGTTGTGGTGCATATATGAAACAAAACACAAGATTACTGATGCGCCATTAAATTCCATTCAGTATTGTATTTGTAAAGTTTTTCCAGTACTCCTATACTGAAAACATCAGGAGTACATACTCCTGATGTTGAAAAATTATCTGGAGCCCTGTACCCGGATGGGACTCAACCCAACAAAAGTACTTAGAATCTATACTTTACTATAGTCCGTTTGGCTCAAAAGCGGACCGATGAATTGCAATCTAACTAAAAAATTAATAAACATATAATACTCAATGAAACACTGATCATAATCAAAACATCAGACCAACTCTGTGAGGTTTTTGCAGAATTTATGTCCTAAAAATAGAAAGGGACAGCCAGGTGTGCGAGAAAGGATGGAGACGGCACAGCACAGGTTCATGAATCAATGACTTTGTCGGCACTTGTGCACATGCTTCTCTAACACCTGGCTATCCCTTTCTCTGCACTCCTCCCTCGTAACAAATAGTGAACTGTGTCAATATTTTAATGATAGTTTGTTAAACAACTTTTATATTTTTAGGACATAAATTCTGTAAACAAATCACAGAGTTTGTCTGATGTTTTGATTATGATCAGCGTTTCATTGAGTATTATATGTTTATTAGTTTTCGAGTTAGACTGCAATTCATCGGTCCGCTTTTGAGCCAAACGCACTGTAAGAAAGTGTAATCCCAAATGTAACATATGTTATGTCATGTTTTTCTTGTAAAAATTACTGAAAACATTAGTATACAACCCGTATCTTACTGCCTAGTAACTGGTATTAAGAACTTTTGAGTTGTTTTCATCTCTTAACAGTTTTTTTCACTTTTTCTCAAACTCTGAAAATAAATTTTACTCACTTGGTATGGTGGTAATAGGCAACCCACTTTGTTACTTTCTTAATACCCAGGGCCCCATTTCACAAAGCTCTCATAAGCCTAAGATCTCGTAACTTTTCTCGTAGCATTCATACTCCCTATGTTACAGTATAGGAGGCACGAATGCTACGAGAAAAGTTACGAGATCTTAGGCTTACGAGAGCTTTGTGAAACGGGCCCCAGGGCACTTATTATGGTGAATACGGTATATTCTCATTGTCAGTTGTCACATTGCTTACACAACGGGGAGATGAATGTTATCAAGTTTTATGTCAGCTGTAAAATGAAAATTAATTAATTTTTAGCTGCTTGTTAAGATGTTTAATGCCTATTTCTGTTTGTCTGAAATCTAACATAGGTCAAACATGATATTTTCACGTATTTCTTTCCTTCTTATTGTGAGATTCTCAGTACATATTTGGTGCGGTCGGCTAGCCTAATGGTTAAGGCATCTGTTCGTCACGCCGAAGACCCGTGTTCGAATCCCCACATGGGCACAATGTGTGAAGCCCATTTCTGGTGTCCCCCGCCGTGATGTTGCTGAAATATTGCGAAAAGCGATGTAAAACCATACTCACTCAGTAAATATTTGTGCTAGGCTGACACTTGCTTGTGTACAACTAGTTAAAGCACCACACTTGAGCAGAGTTGTCTCCCCTGTCATGCCAGGATGCTGTATTTGTGGGTTTGAATCTCTGATGTTTATCCCTGTTTGTCAGGACCAGGGGCATGTTGAAAACTTAATAATGTTCTGAGTTTACTTCCCCACATTGGTACAACATTATCACTAATGCATGTATGGCTTCTAGTTTCCAGACAGAGTTACATCCCTTGGACATGCTAAAAACCTAGGAAACCTGATAGTGGGTTTGAACATCTTATGTTTTTAGGTTTGTCCAACTGTACTGATAATTTTTGCAAAGTGTTTCATGTCTTAAGTGGCCTTCACACGGCAAACTTAAGTTTGACAACACATGTTGTTAGAATTTTTAAAGTTATCAAACTCATGTTTTCACTTGTCAAACACGTTGTCGAGTTGACCAGACGGCAAAACTTCATGTGACAAGTTCGTTGATTGCGATTGGTTGTTTCTGAACAACACGGGTTTGACAATTGTTCACACATCAAACTCGAGTTTGACAACACCAAAAGGTTGATGGAATAGTTGGTGAGAATAGAGACTGACCCTATTTATCAAAAACAGTTTGACAACTCTGAAATCGGTGTTGGTGGCGAGTTGTTGGAATGTTCACACTCTCTAAGTTGAGTTTGACAAGATGTGTCATCAAGTTTGCTGTGTGAAGGCCGCTTAGGACATGAAACACTTTGCAAACATTACCAGTACAGTTGGATATGGTGCTGACAAACCTATATTCAAACTCAGACTTTCATCCAGCATCCACCCGTGAAGATCCAGGTTAGAATTGATCTTCAGTAACCCATGCTTGTCGTAAGAGGCGACTAACAGGATCGAGTGGTCAGGCTCGGTTTTTTGACACGTCATCGTATTCCAATGGCGTAGATCGATGCTCATGCTGTTGATCACTGGATTGTCTGGTTCAGACTCAATTATTTACAGACCGCCGCCTTATAGCTGGAATATTACTGGGTGCGGCGTAAACTAAACTCACTCACTCATCCAGCATCATACTGAGATGCTGAGATGTAACTAAAAATACTGTTCTAAGATGTAACTAAAAATACTGTTCTAGGATGTAACTAAAAATACTGTTCTAGGATGTAACTAAAAATACTGTTCTAGGATGTAAGATGTAACTAAAAATACTGTTCTAGGATGTAACTAAAAATACTGTTCTAGGATGTAACTAAAAATACTGTTCTAGGAGGTAACTAAAAATACTGTTCTAGGATGTAACTAAAAATACTGTTCTAGGATGTAACTAAAAATACTGTTCTAGGATGTAACTAAAAATACTGTTCTAGGATGTAACTAAAAATACTGTTCTAGGAGGTAACTAAAAATACTGTTCTAGGATGTAACTAAAAATACTGTTCTAGGATGTAACTAAAAATACTGTTCTAGGATGTAACTAAAAATACTGTTCTAGGATGTAACTGAAAATACTGTTCTAGGATGTAACTAACAATACTGTTCTAGGATGTACCTAAAAATACTGTTCTAGGATGTAACTAAAAATACTGTTCTAGGATTTACTTTGAGTGGGGACTATGGTCAATAAAGTAATATGAGGGTTCTATAAAGTACTGAAATGGTGTAGTGAATGAATGTAGTTTATGAATGGAAAATGAATGCCACTGAATATGGATTGTACTTGATGATAATGATATTAATTAAAAGAAAAAAGCTAAAGATATAAGATTAATAATTATTATCAAATTTAGCTGACGGTAAAAATAGTTATTGTCATGAACCTTTATTTCAAGACTTATGAAATTGCCTTACTTATGAAATTTTGGCATTCTTTTCATTTTCAATGTTTATATATGGAATAGCTTACCAGAGAAAATTTGACTCGCTTTTGTCTTTGGGCTAGTGGCTGCTTTCTTGGATTTTGTTACCATAATGTATTGATAACAGGAAGATATTTCCCACTTGGGGATTAATTGAAAGTTCCTCACTTTCAGGCGGTAATGGAAGCACAGAAGATGGGTCTGCCTGGAGACAAGATTACCATTCCAGGAGCCACAGAGAAAGTATCCTTATTGTACCATCAAGATCTATTTCAGATGTTGATGTGAAATGTTTAATGCCACACTCTACAATATTTCTGCTGTATGACCCCACATGGGCACAATGTGTGAATTTCTGGTGTCCCCCGCCGGGATGTTGCTGGAATATTGCTAAAAGCGGCGTAAAACCAAACTCAGTCAGTCAGTCTGCTGTATGACTGTGGCTTGTAATCTGTTCCTTGTTGAATAACACCACTACAAGCAATATTCGTGTTAAATGACAGTAAATATCTATGTATACATCAATCTGTACATAGTCTAGCCTGGACCAGACAGTCCCATTCAGCCATTGACGTCCTGAGGACATATCTAATTGTAGCCCGTGAAGATCTGGGTTAGAATTGGTCTTCAGCAACGAACTGTTTGGGGGTCCTGACACTTCAGGTATATTTTAGTCGGAAATGCGTGTAACGAACTACGGCTGTAACGAACGAAAATAAGCGGTCCCTCTGAGTTCGTTTTAACAATAGGCAACTGTTTGTTGACGAAAATATACACATCACTAACACAGCCTTTCTTTTGAATTTACCCGTGAAGGCCCGGGTTAGATATACCTTCAGTAACCCTTGCTTGTCGTAAGAGGTGACTAACGGGATCGGGTGGTCAGGCTCGCTGACTTGGTTGACACATGTCATTGGTTCCCAATTGTGTAGATCTATGCTCATGCTGTCGATCACAGGATTGTCTGGTCCAGATTTGATTAAACCACCTCCGTGGTGTAGTTGTTAGAGCGTCCACCCAGAGAGCGGAAGGTCGTGGGTTCGATCCCCGACCGCGTCATACTAAAAGTCGTTAAAATATGGTACTTGTTGGTCCCTGCCTGGCGCTCGGCATTAATGGGTACAACGAGGACTGGTCGGCTTGGAGTCAGTATAATGTGTCTGAGTGGGGTATTCATGCTTCACTGTGGCATGGTATCTCAGTGGGCTAGCACTATAAACCAGCTTAAGTCTGGGCTAGTACAAGCAGCCGCACATACACATACACACGCATGCACGTCGTCATATGAGCGAAATATTCTCAAGCACGACCTAAAACCCAATTTCACCTCACCTCACCAGATTCGATTATTTACATACTTCACCATATAGCTGGAATGTTGCTGTGTGAGACATTTAACAACAAACAAAATTT